TGTTATTTTATGTACTGATTTTCATGATTACTTAAAATTATCTCAAGAAACCAAAGGAAAACGTCGTGTCCATCCACAGGTGTATTGACTTAGATTTCTTTTATTATTAGATTTACATTTCTAGTTTATAAATAAAATTTATATTTATGTTATTTAATATAATCACTATTTAAAATTGTCTCAAGAAACCAAAGGAAAACCTCATATATGCATCCACCTATACAGTTGAACAGGTAGCTGGAGTATATTTGTGTGAATAAATTTCATGTATCCATAAAAACAAATATGGTAATTTTTTAATTTTAATTTTTTATTTTTAAATTTTTAATTAATTTTAATTTAATTAATTTTTAATTTTAATTTTTTTAATTTTAAAATTTTTTATGGTAAATTTTTACAGAGTTGCCATAGTATGAAAATAATCTTCTTCATAGATGCAGGAAAAAAGTTACAATATGTTATATTTTATATATATATATATATATATATATATATATAAAGAGAAAAAGAAAAGGAAAATAAAAAATAAAGAGAAAAGTAGAATCACTTCTGCAGAATATGGAAGTGCCCACTGCAGGTGGGGTTTGACCTGCTGCCCACACTGATTTGGATGTGTGTGTGTGTTTATTTGTATATTCATAATAATTTAAAATCATTTGCAAATTAGTTTTTTAATGGAACCATCAAAGCAAAATAAGATGCACTGAGGGTTCCATTGTCTCGTTAGTTTGAACTGTGCAAAATGTTTGTTTTCTTGCACAGGCATAATATCTGACTCTGTAAATTGTTCTAAAATGTTGAGTGTCTGTGTGCTGTGGTTTATTTTGGGGTTAGTTATCCGTGGTCAGAGGATCCAGACCATGTGATGCCAAAATAAGCTACATTTCCCTTATCCTGCCCATGGCACAGGGCTGGAACTGATGATCTTTAAGGTCCCTTTCAACCCAAATCCTTCTGTGATTCTGTGACTCTGTGATTCCATGACCCACATGCTTGTACTGTCCTGTTCCTGGCCATTCACAGATCTGGGAAAAAAAGCCTTAAACAGCTTATTTTTCACCTTAGAGAATAAAAAATAAAAATCTGAGGAATTCCTCAAGCTCCCCGATATAACACACAGGGATTCACAGCCTGGGTCACTTTAGCACATGAGTTCTGTTTAAAATAAGCCTGGCTTAAATCATGTTTCCAAGCTTACCTGCAGGTGTAAAAATCACTGGGGCAGGCAAAATATTTTAACTCTGGATGTTTCCATACCTGCAAATCACCTTTCCTCACACCCTCGTGGGGTTTTGCAGCCCTCAGTTGCACAGGCAGGTTTTTCTGGCTCAAATGTCACCCCTGCTTGAGAAATGTCAGTGGATCTGATTCCTGTGTAAAGCACTCTGTGAAATATTGCCTGAGCACAGAGGTGTTGCCCCAGTGAACTTGCAGCCTTTTGAGTTTTTGATGCACCACAGGACCAGCATAAAGATGCTCCAAAAAATGATTTAAGTGAACTTTACAGTCCCAGACCCTCCCAAGTCTCTCCTCCCCTACCCTCTCAAGTATTATTTGTCATGTATTTTTAGTTCCAATAAGATGATCCTTCTTTGTGGTCATCTTGGTAATGTCCTTTAGTTTCAAAAAGGGTTTTAATTCTAGATTATTTCATTCAAACCATTTCTTTTTGCTTTATTCTCTTGGTGTTGCCATGCAGAACATGCTGAGATGAAAAGAGGCTGCAAGAAACTGAGCAGCCTCAGGAGCCCTGAAAAAAGAACCAGCTCAGAATTCCTTGATGGAAAATACCCTCACCCTGACACCAGTTCTCAATTGTGTTCATTCATGGCGTGGTTTCCTTGTGAACTTGCTACTCAGTGGATGGAAAATTAGGTTAATTTATGGAGAAATAATTCTTGGAGTGAACCAGACCATTGAGTTACTCCAGCAGCAGAACTTCCACTCCATGTTCCTGCCTCAAAGTTTGGAAATTTTGAAGTAAACCTCTGTGTGTTCGTGTTGCAGTGATGAAGAAATGCACACCTTTGTATGTTCCCCAAGTGTGGAAGTGCCATAGGAATTCTAAATCACTTAGATCTGGAGAGTTTGAAACTATTTGGGGAAAAGGGGATTGATGTTTGCTTGTCTGTGCACTGTGAATGCAGAAATTCACCTCTGTTTTCTGAATTCATTTGGAAACAAATAATAAAGAAGATTGTCACCTGCATCTGTCCTGAAGCAACGAATTGTTTAGTGCAAGCATTTGAAACAAGGTAATTAATAGTTCAGAACATTCTAAATTATATCCTGCTGATTTTTTTTTTTTTCAATTAGGAAAATTTAGACCATGCCACAATTTTTAACAACATGCTGATTTTTTTATTTATGGAGTTTATTTTTAATTATTATGGTTTGTGTAACCACACTTTTTTTGAGCATTGCGAATAATTCGGGGGAATTTGATGATATATTTTGCATATATATATTTGAAATGTAATCTCTGAAATTTTGTTAAAAGAAAGTCTTTTGGAAAGTCCTAGATGTGGGCAGTTTAGATTCAGCTCTTATACATATATTTTTCGCTCCTTAATTAATTTAAAACTGTGCAAACATCCTTCAGTGTTATGTCCCAGATCTCCACGTTAAAAAAACAAAAGAACAAACAAAGTGGCTGAAGCCATCTCCCTGTGAAAAGAAATAAAAGTTATTTCACCAAAGGCAACTCTATTTTGATTTCTAAGGTGCTGTTACGCAAGAGCTGCGGGAGAAGTGGGACAAGGATAACAAGAAGGGGGTCGTTATCCAAGAGTTCAAAGGTAGGCAGCTGATCAAAGGTTAAATACAAGAAAAGGAATTATTCCATTCAAGTTAAATATAGGACTTTGTAACCTAAATAGATGCTTAGCTTCAATTAAAAACTCTTGGAGAAGGCTTTTGTGCTGTGGGGAAGTTCTCAAAGTCAGGCAAACTTTGTTTTTATTGCTTGAAAGGATCTAGGGGAAGGGAGGGAAAGATGGGATATCTCAATTTTCATTCCAAAATGTTTCTAGTTATAAAAGGTAGAGGGCAGAACCGATTAGATCCATTTAAAATTGCAGCTTGCAGAGGTGGCATGAAAATATTTTAGCTTCCAAAGTTGGAGATGGAACATTAGAGCCTGTAAAAAGCATTTTCTCAAGAATAGGCAGAGCCTGTAAAAGCATTTTCTCCAGCCTGGTCGCAGCACAGAGCCCTGAAAGGAGGCAAAGCTGGCAGGGAAAATGAGCAAAGGAGCAGCTGAGGGGGAGAGAGTTCAACTGGGAGAGGGATTTCATTAAAGGAGTCAGGTGGAAACTTGTAGAGGAAGCAGGAGCTGGCGGGATGAAAAATAACAAAATGCCCTTCCCGAGCATCACTGGCTGCACCGGAAGATGGATCAGGAATGTTGGATAGCACTGATTAAATGAGAGCTTGGGTATGCAGAGCAGGAAATTCTGTTTTCTGTCATTATTTAATATGAGGGGAATGTTTGAAAGTGGTGTGAGGAATTGTGTGGATCAATAGGAGACAACAATATATATCTGATGGTGTAAATGCTGTTAAGAAGTGCTGGCTAATTTCTCATTAATGTGTTAAAAATAATAACCAATAGAAATACATATATTAGTGAAAGCAATAACAAATGGTTGGACTTGAAGAAGAGCCCAACTCTTCCCAGGTTTCCTTTTGCTGCGTTTGTTCAAACGCATCACAGCGTGTTACCCTCCAGTGCCTTCATACTCAGGAGGAAATAACACAAACCATCAAAGTTCTTGAATTTTTAGGCAGCAGCTCTTTTGGATTCAAATCACCAGACTGTCCTAGACTTCTATCCCAATATTACAACCAGGTTGGACGGGACTTGGAGCAACCAGGTCAAGTGGAAGGTGTCCCTGCCCGTGGCAGGAGGTGGAATGAGGTGACCTTTAAGATCCCTCCCAACCCAAACCATCCTGTGATTCTGTGAAAACCAGATATGAAATTATTTTTCTATCAATGGATACAGGGCATCAGAAGGCTGTTGCATCCACTCCTGATTTAATCCCAACTCCCATGGCTGCGTCCTGAGGAGCTGGTTTGGATTTTCAGATCCACGTGATGTTGAATATTTTTTCTGTTGCACAACAGATCCTTCCAGCTCTTCCCATGATGTCAAAGAAAGCCATGGACACAGAAGGACTCCTCTAGATCAAATTCTTTGCTCTCCACCATCCCAGTGGTATTTTCAAGAATCACTTAATGGCAAATAATGTTTCCAACAGATACTTTTTGGCCACTCTGCTGGAATGTCACTTTTATTTGCCTTTCCTGCTCAATGCAAATTGCTCCCATTTTTAAAAAGAGCTGGGATATCTCAGTATCAGCTGCTTTATGGCCTGAGCCTGAATATAGGGTTTATATCAGGGGAGTAAGTGGTGCACTATATCCACCTGAAAGGGCTCATGAGATTATTAAAAAGGGACCCACTGGTCAGAGAGCATTTCTAAATTGCTCGTTCCATAATTATTATTATGTGCATAACGCCTCATATGCATTAAACATTCAACTGAAATGACTCTGAATGGGAGAGCAACCATATAATAAGAAAAACCCCTTCTTTTACATAATAGAATTTAAAATATCAATAAGGTAAATAATATATATAGTGTGTGTTTAAGTGTGTACACTTCTACATGCACTTATGAATTATATATTTATAGCATATGCCAAATGTGTAGTTAAACACTTCCACTTTCCACAAAGGCTGATTTGAAGTGTGTTGGCATTGGAGTAACATTTAAATGAATGTCACAGTCATTAGAACTTACTATGACCTCTGACAGCAGTTTATTCCCATCTAATTTAATTGTAAACATGCTTTACCAGTCTCTTTAGATCATCTGCACTCTTGGGATACAGAGAGTCTTTAACATTAATTAATATTATAGTAAACATACAACAACGTTCCCTCCGTCGAAATAAACACTCAGAGATCAACATTCATTAGTTAACCTTGAAACTTCAGGTCAAAACACCAAGAAACCAAAATATCTGGCTAAAAAAAATCATACAAAAAACGCCAACTTCAAGTGTCTTTTGCAAATATCTTAGTATTTTACAGATCAACAACTTGAAACATTGCTTCATGCTAAATCAGTCATATGAAAACATTTGCTTTATCTGGTCTTAAATACTTCTCCATAGTAGTGGCTTACATAGGTATAATTACAATTAAAATTAAATATAGGCACAGTTATGGCCCCAAATCCATGCAGGAGGTAACATCAACTGTGTGTTATTTACAAAATCTGGGATTCAGGAAATCAGCCACAATTCTGCTCCATGAGAAAACACAGAATTTTACCTTCAGTTCTCAGTTTTGAAAGATAAAGTTACTCTGAAGAGCCACAGTGTTTAAAATACAGATTTTGCTTCCCGGGGAGACACTGAGTTCAGCCTTCAACACACAGAATACCTGATTATGAACTGACTGTACTGGTGTGTTTTTATAGTACTAAAAAAGTATTCCAAGATGGAAAAAAAAGGCACTTTGAAAAACTGAAAGAGTGTTTCAAAACATGAGAAAATTCAGCGTTGTGGTTGATGTTGTTTTACAGGCATTTCAGCTCCATTGCAGGGTGTAGTTCTGACCTAATCTCAGCTCAAGCCCAGTGATTGTCAGGAGCTGGGAATAAAACAGACAAAATGGACAATTAGTAACTTTGCCCTGAACATCCACAGCGTTTTCTGTGTTCCACAGAGATACTGGTTTCTCGTTTTAAACTACAATTTATTCCTCTTCCTTTGCTTTTGTGTTTGTATCACTATAAACGGAATTTAAGCAGCACAGAATTAGGAGTGTGACCGTGGTGCTCTGATCCCTTCCTTCATTCAGATGCTCTTTTAGAACTGAGGTTCCTTTTATTTTTAAAATAAAGGAATTTTTGAAAGGCAGTAAAACTTGGAATGTGCTGTATGAATTTTTTTTTCCATCCAAAAGTCAACGGCAGAAAAAAACACTTCCATTCTCTTTTGCATTTTTAGCTCTCTTTTTTTTGTTGTTTTGTTTTGGCTTGGTTCTGTACAAAACTTCTATAGCTCTGGCTTTCCAGTGAAAGAGAGGAAGAACTAAGTCTTAACAGAATGCTGAATTTTAAAGGAAGGGGAGTAAAATCCCAGTAACTCTCCCTCTGTCAGAAAACCAGAAAGACTGAACATCTCAGCAGTTCTGTTCATATTTGGAAGATATGAACATAGAAGTGGCATCTCAAACAACAATAGTTAAAGAGATTGCTTTCAGCTGCCTTTAGAAGTGTTGGATTTTATTGTCTGGGAAGGCAAGGGAAGGTGATGCCCTGGACAGGCAGAACCCATGGAGATGGAAACCCCAGTGCTCTGAAGCTGGTGGAAGGTTTATCAGTAACTTTAGAAGAAGTGGGATTTGCCATCTATGGTGTAGGAATGTCTGCAGCTGAAATGGGACCTGACAGAACAAGGAATAGTGGGAAGCAAACAGGGCTGGGAAATGGAACTGTTGTCAGACAAGACTGACAATAACAGGGTCGTGTAGAGATTCTGAAAATACCTGGAGATGCTTTTCCTTCCCTCAAATCTCACAGGTTGCAAGTGAAGGTATTAGGAAGAGTGGAAACCAAACACAGACCAAAATCCACCACTTTTCCACCTCCAGAAGTGGTTTGGGTTCCTCAACAGGAATTTCTGTGCTTAGGGGCTCTACCACACCCAGTGTTTCCTATACATTAAAGTGTATTAGACAATCATTATCTGATGGTAGATTATGTGTCTTGCTGAAGTGTATCTCAAATCTGGTATTCCAGCTGAATCTCCACAGGTTTAGGAGCACAAATGCAGGTGTGAAGGTGGCATCACCCTGCCAACATCATCTCACCTGCTTGGTGCTGTTGTAATTCAAGGCATGAGGTGATGTGATTGTCCCACCATTCTGCGACACCGTCACCTGAGTGACACTGCTGGTCACCCCCAGGACTTTAATGTCAGTAAAATTTAGGTTATTTGGGTCAGTGTAACCGCCGTGCAAAACCTTGATATCTAAAACATTCTGAAAAGAAAAGTTAAAAAACAAATATCAGAGACCGTGATTAGATTGGTACAAGTCCAGAGAAGCTGTGGTTGCTCCATCCCTGGAAGTGTCCCAGGCCAGGTTGGACGGGGCTTGGAGCAACCTGGGCTAGTGGAAGGTGTCCCTGCCCATGGCAGGGGGTGGGACTGGATGAGCTTTAAGGTCCCTTCCAACCCAAACTATTCTATGACTCCCTGAATCTACGATATAAGATAAAATACAGCTCCAGAACAAGCCGTAGCCACAGAGACTTATGGCAGAGTCTTGAGCATCAGGGTGTGTTACCAGCAAAAGATGTGGTGAATTGTTAAGTCAGAAATTGAAGAAGGAAACCCTTCACCTTTTAAGAGAATGCAGACAAGTAGAAAAGACTGGATGAGCTTTAAGCTCCCTTGCAACCCAAACCAATTTATGGTTCTATGAAGTCCACTTGAGCTTTTTATTTACTGTTCTCACTGCCAACTTTTTAAATTTTGTTTTTCTAATACCTGTGTATTATTATTTATTTTTCAAATGCTGAAGGCTTCAATTTTCTTCACATTGATCAATCTGGCCAAATCCTGGGCTCTGCTGTGCCTTTAATTGCCACTCAGCTGAATGATGTGAAGCAACAGGAAACTTTTGACCCCTGCCATGGGCAGCAAGTGCTGCAGGACAAACCCCTGCTGCACTTCCAGCTTCTGAGAGAGCTGCTCCAGGCTCTGCTCTCCCTGCTTTGTGCCCTCCCAGAACAGCTCCTGCACTCCCATCACCCCCTCAGCACTCACAGGTCCCCTCTCATTCCCAGTCACTGTGATTTTAAGTACATTCCAGGCACACAATTCCTTTGGGATGTGCCCAGATCCCATGCAAATGTGCTGTGACACAATTCTGCATATTTAGTGCTTAGAGGGCATTACTTTTCCTGTGAGTGGTTTTCATTGTTGGTTGATTCAAGACCTTTTTAATTAAGCTTTTCCTTACCAAGTTTTTGTAAAAAAAAAAAAGGGGGAAAGGTGCATTTACTTTCTAATCTCCTTACAACTGCAAATACTGAGTATTAGCAAAACAAACTTCTCTTCCTGAGCGATTAACACCCTTTTATTTGACAAAGACAGAATTAAATGAGAAGAAAGAACAGTGTGGATGAAATTAGAAGACACTCTGACACCCTGGAAAACTAATGAAATAAGAAAGTGTGTTTTCTACTACAATAGAAAGAGCATTTCTTTTAAACCAAAAGTCCATATAATCAGAGTCTAATTTTATTCCAGTTAATCATATGATAAAAATTGAAATCTGACAATGCCATAAATGTACAGCCTACTTAACAAAACACTATCATTTATAGCTTCAGAATCATTCCTAAATTCATTCTCAGCACAGTGTAATCATATCATTTGTAATTTATTCAATTATGAGCACAATTTAATGTTGGGGGGGATATAAAGGCACTATAAAGATCCAAATTAAAATACCCATAGTTAAAATACAATAATAATCACCTAAAGTGATTATTCAAATAATGTGAGCTGATGTGACTTACCTGATTAGCAGTGAATGATGTCATCAGATATACACCCTTTTCATATGCATCTGTTAGAAAGAAAGAATAAAATGTGTTTTCTATCCTCCTTATTTAACACAATATCAAAATTTCAGTTCAAGAATTGTGTCCATATATTAGACACAACTATATGATATGTATCTATATGCAAATAAAGACAAGTTGTGCATTTCCAGAAGATATATTAGATATCAAATACTTTCAGGATTTAATGTGTGCTGTTTAAATGAGGCCAAAAGAACATTTTAGAGGTAAGATAAATATAAAAAAAGCAATGAAACAGCATTAGGAAGATCAGGGGTGTTTAGACCAGAAGGAGAAAGACGTTTCTTTCTTACTGAAGATTCATTTCCCACACCCACCTCTATTCCCTCTCCAATTCCATGTGACACATGACCAGGATAAAGGCTGATACATCTTTGAAATTGTTGTTGTATATTTTACCACCCCTATTATTCAGCCTTAAAGGCACTCAGAGTAGTGCTGAGAATCACTGGAATGAGGTTCCTGCCTCTCCTGACTACTGAACACAGATCACAAGCACCTGCTGAGATGCACCTTGTAACCTGTGTGAATTCATTTTGTCATCAGACTTCCCTAAGCGTGGCCATCAGTTCTGAATTCCAGTGCTGACAGGAATGTTGGGTGTTGTGAAGCCCCTCAGGATGCACCAACAGCATCCTGCAAACTTCCCTCCACATCATCATGCAAAACAGCCCCAATCTCTGCGTTCCTCACAGTAATTTTGGGTGCCAGCTTATTGTTATTAGAGGGGTGATTCTCTCTGGATGGAAAGGACAAATGATATTTAAATATTTCTTATCTGAAATTTAGTGGTGTTGAGGAAATTAGTTAAAGCTCCCACATAATCTCTGGTTATGGTTCCCATAGGTTTGAGGATGAATCTTTGTTATCTGTGCTGCCTTAGGCCCAGGGCAGAATTTCATTTATACAACGTATTAATTCTGTAAATCGTAGCACTATGTGGAATAAATCAGGAAAAATCACGTTTCTATAATGGTTTAATTTCAGTTTTGCCTCTGAAGGCAGGTTCAGGTATGTCCTCCAGAAATGTCATGGCTTTGTCCAGAGTCCATCGTTTCCCCCTGCTCCTAAAGCCCCTCCTCAAACACCCCACACCACTGCAGAGTTTGTTTCAGGTCTCCCCACTTCCCATCCTCAGGTTTTGTCCTGTCTGTTTTACTTTGGGTTTTGAATATCTCTGGGCAACCTGTTGCAGTATTTGACCATTCTCACAGCAAAAAAAAAAAAAAACCAAAAGGGTTTTATGAAGGCAAGAAGCACCAGACGTACCAATCATAACCCCATCATCCCAGTAAAGGTGTCCTTCTGCAATCAGGCTGTTATTCAGTGCCACCGTGAGTCCCATTGGGTTTTTCCGGCTGTGGAAAACACAATAATTTTCCCTTCATTTCCTCAGCAGATCACATTTCATATTTCTCTGATGTTACAATTTGTAAAGGGATACTGCACATCGCCCAGTTCACCTCCTGTAACCATCTTCCCAAGCCCCATACTATCAAATTTCAAGGAGAAAAGCAAAGAGAAAAAAAACAAATTTAAAAATTTTTGGTTGATCTTACCTGTAAAAAGTTGTCCTGGCGGGTTTTTGCCAAGGAAGGATGTATCCACCTCGGATATGCAGGTTGATATGATCCAAAGGAGCTGGGAAATTTTCGTACAGTCCCCCCCCATAGCCAACATATTCATCCTATGTACAAAAAAGTTAAGAAGTTTTACAGGTGGTGGGGTTTTTTTGGTTTTATTTTTCTTTAGAATGAAGTGATAATGTTTTTCTAGACAGATTAATTAGTAGTTGTTACTGCAGGAGTAACTACTAATGCTTTTAAGAGGAACTCTGAAATTTTGGCTCTATGAAAGACTTGACTGGAGGTGCAGCAGCTGAACCAAAGGGGCTGGTCAGGTGAAATCCAAACCTGTGATTAATGAAGTTTGATCCCTGCTCTTCCTATGACCAAATCTTTTATGATTTTCCAGGAAAGATGAGGCAGCTAAACCTGCTTTGTCTTTCTATGTTCCAGGATTCCATTACAAAGACATTCTGTGTATAATTTGAGGGTTAAAAAAGTCAATTGGGCTCTAAATTAAAGGTATTATTTCACTTTTTAACTTATCCTAACCTTGGGCAAGTTTTATACAGTATTATACAGGAATCAAGGATTTCTTTTTAATCAGCTAAGTAGATTTTATATTTCTAGGAACTTATGTTAAATGCAAATTAAGCAGGAGAGTGTTCCCACCTCCCCACCCCTCTCAGCACTGGGAAGAAGACATAAAATATAATTTTTAAGTGACTTACAGTGTAGTAATCATACCAGCGGGCACGGGGCAAGTAACCCCTCACTGTTACAGCATTCTGGAATTAAACACACGTGTTTTAGGCACCTTAAATCAAAAAGTGAAGCTTTAATGTTTTTGTAAAGTGCTTAAAATCAACCTACCTGTTGCAACACAGGGGTGATGAGCAGGGCAGGTCCCCAAAGGAACTGCTCATGTATGTCCCAGGTTCTTCTGTCTGTCACAAACCTGTCACGGTTAGACATTGAGAGGTGAACTTTTCCAAGTTGTTCCTTCTTTAAGACATTTTTGTCAGCCATTGAACCTACTCTTCCTACTGTCTACCGTTTCCTCATCTTTATTTTAGTATTAATAATGCACAGATTAATTAATGGTTGCCAGGAATGCGTAAAGATCCTAATGTGAGACTCATTATTGAAATTCCAGTACTTAGCTTTACTTTTTTTCCTTTTCTTTGCTTTTGCTTTTCAGTGGATTTAGACAATAAAACTCTGAAGGTCTGTTGTGCCTGGCTGGTATGTGCAATAATAATCATGGACAAACTGGGAACCACTTTTTAATTTGTGCCACTGTTTTCTTAGACAGTTTCTTTGGAAAAATCAGGTCACCCCATGCAAACAACTCAGTGTTCCTCAGCCAAGACTTGTTTTTTAATGAAGGGGAAAATGCTGCAATGAAGAGAAAACTTAGAGGGGTCTTCACTGAGGAAGTTTCAATGGGAATTCCTGATGAGGAGAGCAGAGGAGTTGCACTTACTCATGGAGTACAGGACGGACCACAGTGCTGCCGTCGACGTGGGCATCATGCAATAGTGTGTAGAGATAAGGTAACAGGGTGTATCTGATATTCAGCACCTTCTTGGAAGCCTCCACAAATGTTGCATTCCAGGCAGCAGGATCTTGCCTCTGGAAGACAGGAGACCATTGTTAGTGAAGCTGAAATTTCTGTTGGGAACAGCTATAAAAAAAGTATCAACATAGCGAGATAAATCCAAGGATATTTCTCCAACAAACGCAAGCACTTTTGTTTATTTTTTCTTAAATATGGAACAAGTGATGCTAAAAACAGTAGGAACCACTGTCAGCCCTAAGAGGGAAGCTGGGGAAATACTATAAAGAATGTTTGATGCAAAGTGTCCCCAAGGTGGGACACATCCCAGTGCACAGAATTTATCATCCCTCTTTTCCACAGGGCAGCTCTCTTGACTCGCAAGGAGACACCAAGCACAAAGCGCTGATGGCAGGGAGCACTTCCAGTCTTCATTAAATGGAGGGAACAATACCTTGGAGAATTGGGGAAGACTGGGAGCAACATGATAACCCTGAATCTGCATTTTGAAGGCTTTAACAGGCCTATCCAAAGGTGTGTCACTGCGAGATAAAGCCCAGGGGGTTTGAAAAGGAGACTTTAATCCATTAGATAGATTCCATATAAATAGCTCTGCTCTCCTGGACCTCAAGCTTTAACTGGAATAGAAGTGCTGGTTCCACTTTTTTTTCTTTTCCCAGTTATCTTGTTTTACAGCTTTTCTCCCCCCTAGTCCTTAGCCAGCACAGACCTACATTTAGGCAATTCTTTCCCTTTCCTGTGAACAGAAATACAATATCTGATGGTGGCAAATGTGCAAAGCACAGACATTTCCGAGTCTTACTCCAGCATCTTATTCCACTGCTCCATTTTCTCATTTGTTGGGTAATTATGGGCAATTAGGGCTGAGAGCACCAAGGTCAGTTTTGCTCCTTGAAGTGTGTTTGCCATCAAAGCTCTATTTTAGTCTTGATGTAGCACATTCAAATCCAAATGGCACAGAGGGGAAAATATGCAGGAGTTTGATTCAGTCCAAGCAAAGTTAGAATGATCGTCCTTCCAGTGATCCCAGTTCCAGAGCAGCCCCTCTGTGGGCATCAAACCTCCCAGGTAAGGGGAAGGTTTACAGGAAAGCAAGTATATAAATAATGACAATTTTTATTTGATAAAAAGCCAAATATGTTCTTTTCTTGTCCATTTCATTGTAATGTACTTTTTTTTTTTTGAGCCAGGCCACCCTGTGCATTGTTTGGCAGCTCTTTGCATGTGTGGTGCTGTTAACAACCACTAAAAAGTTGCATCTCACCCTTGTTCCTTTCTCGTTGTGATTCCTGGAATATGGATAAAATGCACCCAGCTGCGTCCAGCGAAGACACAGCTCATACTCCGAGTCTTTGAAGAAGCCACAGATATCAGCTCCTGTCTGAAATATTTAGAATGATCTGATTGGAATACTGTAATATCATGTACAGCATCAGGGTAATTGAATATAAGTTAATAACTTGTTAGCTTACATAAGATATTCCGAAGAGACTGAAGTCCATCATCCCTGAGAAGAAAAATAAAATGAAATTACTGGCTGGGTTTTTTTCCAGTAGTTGCATAGATAATACATATTGCAATGCTGAATGAGCAGAGGAAAAAAACCAAATACAGGCCCCCATGATTCCTCTAACATGTCACGTTTTTCTGCTACAGAAAGAGATGGGAGGTTATTGGTTGGGAGGAAATAAAAAGCATGAGTGGTAGGACACAGGACATGAAAGTGGTGGGTATAAAAGACCTCCTGTGGCAGAAGGAAGGAAAGAAAGAAAAAAAGAAGAAAAAAGAAGAAGAAAAAAAAAGAAGAAAAAAAAGAAGAAAAAAAAGAAGAAAAAAAAAGAAGAAAAAAAAAGAAGAAAAAAAAAGAAGAAAAA